AGTCCTGGGGACTTCAACTCCCAGAATTCCCCAGCCAGATTCTGGGAATTGAAGTCCCCAGGACTTAAAGTTGCCAACGTTGAGAAATACTGCTCTAGAGGCTTGTAAAAAAAAAAAAGGCACATTTTAACCACTTTTCAAAAGGTGACTAAAGTGGTTTATGCATTTTATAATGCAGGATACTTAACTTATGAATGCAAATCAAGCTGATATTATGCAGTTTAACCCTACAACCTACTTAGAGTTATAAGAACAGCCATTACCAATATTCTTGAGAATGTTGCCATTTATGAACATATCCTGTTTGTGAAACAAAGGTCACAATCGTGGAAAGTTGTTATGTGTCACAAGGTAATAGCTGGTGCATATATATAGAAAACATGGTCTTGCAATTAAAACTATTCTGGCTATACACACAGCGTCAGTCTGTACCCTATGAGGATGTAACAACTACACAGAATAATAAAAATTATCTCTACAATAGATAGCTTTGGACTTTACTCTATAAAGCTCAATAAATTGAAATCAGCATCTTGAATTGAACTTAGAAACTTATAGGAAGTCAGGGCAGCACCCTCAAAATAGTTGAATTATCCTGTAGCTACGGTATCAGCAGGTGGACTGATGCATTTTGTACCAATTGCATTTTTGAATTAGTCTTCCAGGGCCAACTGGAAGAGAGTTTACTGCAATAATACAAGGCTTGAAGTACATCTGACTGTGTTTACATTTCTATGTATAAGCACATCTTACCTGGCAGTGCTAGCAGAAACGTATGCATACATACATAGACAAATGAGGAGAAATTTCAAAGCCTTCCACAGGACATGGCTGCTTTTATGATATCAAATAGATTTTTTTTGCTATTCTTCTACACTTTGCAAAGCATGTGTTTCAAATGCTTTGCACAGCCATAGCTTTTGGTTCATAATAACAGATACGCAGATGAAACAAATGTGTTGATTTGGAATTCAGACCACAAATGTTCAAATGTCACTTCTGGTTTTTTAGCAGTTCACCTGTTATTCACTGACTTTTTGCACGTATAAAGCTATTGAGTGTTATTATCAATAGATATAGAGATAGCTAACAGTGGGACTGTTAAAGCATTTTTATCTGCTTTGCTTGCCTAAAAGACTCATGTTGCATATCCTTATGGAACATATCTCCTATTCATTCTGAGGAGTTTCATAATTTCCTTCTTCACTCAGTTCAGTCTCTTCTAATTCAGACTTACGCAGTTCAGGAACTCATTGCTCTCGCTGTCTCTTCATAATAGAGGACAGTCCACCATAGGCCCTTAGATGTAGATGGAATTTAGGAACTTAAGATTTTGTTTCCTTCCTTCCTCCCTCCTGCCTGGACAAACTGGTCCTGTAGTTTTCTTAGAATAATTTCACGAGTGGCTTGCCATTTCTTTCTTTCTAGGGCTCAGTCAGAGGGACCCTACTGGTTTCGTGCCTAAGATGGCACTAGAATTCACTGTCTCCTGGTTTCTTCACCACTACACCAGACTGGCTCTTTGGGTTTTTCTGTGATCATGCTGTTTTCTAAATAAACTTCAACTTTAGTTTTCTTTTCTGTAAGCATTGGAGCAGAAGTTATATTCCTAACTACATTGTTAAACAATTATTTCTGCCACATAAAGCTATTTGTTACCCAGCAATAAGCTATTGGGCCCAGAGCAGAGAAAAGTTTAAAGATTATGAAAAAAGAGGTAGGGTTTTTTGTTTCAGTTCACAAGTGCTTACCTGTCTGCAAGAAGGACAGATCGATAAGGCAGGATGGGCAGTCTCTAAGGAGAGCGGACACTTGAGATGCTGAACAACAGGATGCCCTCTTCAGTTCTGCTGTTTAATTTCCCTCTTTTTTCTTAAGATGATAATGATTGTGTCTACTTCCCAGAGCTATGTATGTGAGATGGCAGATATATAAATGTAAAAAAAGTAATAAAGTAAGCATATACCTTGAATCCAAGTTAATATCCTTTGCATTTGTTCTGTGCTTTTTGTATCAACAAGATGTGAAAAGTATTGCTCCCATGCCTTTTCTCTTTCGCTCTCAAAACAAGGAGTGGAGTAGAATAAATCCTACTTTAGGCTTGAGTAAATGTCTGCCAACAAATTACCAATAGGATTACCAATGTATTCAGCAATTTATATAATTTAATAGTTAATGTAAGGATTTTTTTTGTCACTTCTGCCACTGCCTTCACTTTTTTCTTAAATTAAAGCAGGAAGGGATATTCATTAAGACACACATTTCTCTTCAGGTAATCTGTGGGAACTATGTGGAAGGTAGGGACAAGGTAATATATTTTTCTATACTCCTGTCTTTCTTTTCATTGCTTTCTTCATGTTTAAATGGAAGAGAGTTGGCTGATGTCTTACAGAAAGCTTTTGAAATTAGCCCAAGGACTGCATTAAATTAAGCTGAATGCTCTTGATGGCTCAACAACTACTCATTGCCCTTCCCTGGTATAAATCCAAATGATGATCTGGTATCTTCGTGGAAAAAAATAAGAGTAACTTATTTAGAGCCAAGAAAAAAGGGGGAGTGCTCTGAGGTGGCTTCTTCAGCCATACTGACTAGGCGTGCTGGGAATTACAGTTCCAAGAATCTGAAGGGCACCAGATTAGGTAGTTTTTTATTATGTGATGCACAGTCACGCACACAATGATTAGGTGGGTTGGATTTATTAGTACTAATGACTCTTAGTGTCTGAAAAAGGGGTACTCTCTTGGATAATATGATTTTATCATTTGCATACAGCATTAGATTTGTGTATGCTTGATTGCTCACAAAAATCATAAGAGGAATTTTTAAACACAAACAACCCCACACTTTAATTTTCCATTGAAGAAAATGTGTATTTCTGTATCTAAAAGCTTCAATCCTCAGAAGATTCTTAATTGCTATAAGTTTTAATAATTCAGAAGTAGTATTGATCGTAGAGATGACACTTGGACTCCAAGGTGGGCAAAGCTCTGGCTTTCTTTGGAGACAACATGGTATCAGTCGAACTCTAACGTCATATCTAAATCAGCAGGTTAAGTTCAAATATTACTTTTTTATTGCAAGTTCATGATCACCAGAAATACCAACATTGTCTTCAGGAGCCAGAAGTGGAAAATTTAAAGAAAAAAAAAATCTTTTGAACAACTATGGTAAAAGGGGGGAAATTAAAGAAAAAGCCTAAAGAAAAGAATTTTTGATATAGATTCACAAGTTTAATTAGATAGTACTATAAAAAACTCATTTTAGGACAATAGGAAGAGTGTTGTTCTGCGTGGCTTGTTCCACTTGAAATAGTTTAGGTCATCAAAGGCAGCTTGATGATTTATGATTTCTTGAAATAGTGTCGTAGTAAACATATTGCTATTTGAATAAATACATTGTTAGTTACTAACAAATTCAGCATCTATAAATTAAAAATTACCTGTTAATCTTGACTGAAGATTATTTTGGGCAAAGAAAGCTTACACTTTTGTATAAACCTCTTGATTTTAAAATTAGAATAGCTGCCAAGTTCTGAATTGTACAAATCTCTTTTTTTGCAGTGGAATTGGGCTTTATTATAAAAAGGTAAAGCACCGAATAAGCTAATGGTCATTACAGTTCTATATACCATACAAAAAATTAGACCTAATATTGTGTTTTTAAGGCAAATGTGAATGTTCAAGCTTTTTGAAAAGTAAACTCCCATTCCATATGACCTCCTTTAAATTCAATCTGAGGGTATTTTCAGAAATGGACTATAAAATGGCATAAGATAAGCATGTATGTTTAAACTCAGAAATCTGACTTAAAAAATTCTGATTCAGAAGTACCAAGTCCTTTGACTATAATCTACAGATTAACTTCAGATATATCTAGTAACTAGCTGTGCTCCGCTATGAAACTATGTGATTGGGCTTGATAAATCGACACTTATGGCTTGAAAATTAATGAGTAGTTAAGATTGGCCTCTCCTCTCCCCTTCTCTCCCTCAGGCTTGCCTCACAGAAGCCTCTCTTCTTTAATCCTCCTTCTCTCCTAAGGCTGGCCCCATTGATCCTCCTATCTCCTCCTCTCCCTCAGGCTTGCCTCATTGATCCTTTCCTATCTCTTCTCTCCCTCAGGCTTGCCCCACAGAAGCCTCTCCTCTCCTACCCCCTTCTCTCCCTCAGGCTGGCCCCATTGATCCTCTTCTATTCCCCTTCTCTCCCTCAGGCTTGCCCCACAGATGCCTCTCCTATCTTATCCCCTTCTATCCCTCAGTCTAACTCCTTAGCATCAGAGCGTTTTTCAAGTGGGGAGGAGGAGTAGAATGTCTAAACTCCCAGCCCGCAGGCCAGATGAGTCACATGCTGGCCATGCCCATGCCCACGCCCAAATGGCAATTGGAAAAGAGTTCTTCTGATGGTCATTTCAAAAAATCTTTTCTTAGTGAGCACTTAGAAGCCAAGAGGAACATACGTGCCAAATTTCAAGTTTGTAGGCTTTACAGTGATGATTCGTGAATGGTATTTCGCTTTTATATATATAGATTATTACATCTAGGCTTGCTTTTGGATGAAACCATATAAAAGGGGGGGGGGGAAACCTCAGTTTCAGAATAACTTTATTTTATTAACGGTCTCATGAAACTGAATTTGTTTCTTATCATGTTGGCCTAAAGATGATAAAGTCAAATAATAAATTAATTCTTGCTCTAAAATCTTACTAGGTAGCTTTCTCAAAACTATCCAGAAAATCAAACTCTGAATTTAAACATGATTCCTCGTGCCTGTCCTTTGCATGAGTTAATGCATAACAAGAAGGCTCCACAGGAATGATAGGCTGCTGATATGCTGTAACAAAAATTATGGGGTAGGAAATACATGTTTTGTTGTTTATGTCTAGCAGTAGAAAACTTACTAAGTATTTAAAAAAAAAACAACCAAACTAAAATTGAATTGTTACTGATTTGAAGGATGAGTGTCTATCATTAAATTTGATTTTTCAACTTTTTCTCATAGAAAATCAATGCAAAACACCATGAAGGGCTCTGTCAACACTGTAAGGAGGTCCTGGAATGGCGGGTAAAATTCAACAAGTATAAACCATTAACACAGGCTAAGAAATGGTGAGTAAATTGTTATTGTAATATATTAAAAGCCATATGGCCAGTCCAGGAGGTATAGAAACTTTTAATCAGTTGTGGCCTAAGAGAAGGTAGATCAAACTGTGTAGAGCCCACCCACCCCTTTTTAAGGGAGCAAAAATACTTTAAGAGTCAACTATACTAGAAATATGCATTGTTATGTACTTTTGAACAAGGTGCACCAGGGAAAGATTACCATAAAACCCTCCTTACTAAAAATTGTAATTAAGCCAGAGCCATACAAGATTTCCTTAACCTAAAGTAGGTAAATAGTTTAAGTATGAAAATGCCTCTTTAACTTCCTCAAGCCTACAGTTTATCAATAAGTAACAGTGATTCTTCCATTTTTTAGGGGCAGTTGAGAAGCAACCTTAGGAGACTATGATTTTAACCACAAAAACAGTGGGAGGTGATCAGTCCTTTCTATGATAACAAAGGAAGCAATTTTTTTGCAGCTTTAAGGATAGTTTTTCTGTGCCCCTTATTTGTTCTAAGATTTTTAGAGGTGTTTGTTTTTAATTAAAAAACATATCTAGGTTTTGTAACATGCATTTCTGCCAAGTGCATCACTAGGTGATTCATGCAAAGGAATTGTAAATAACCTTTGAGCTTAACTCTGTTTAAAATGTCTTATCAGTATCATTCAAGTCTCTTATTTTCCAGTGGAAGGGAAGTGTTCAAAACAAGCATTGTGTCTTAATTCAATCCTGTACATAGAACAAAGAAGAATATAACTTTAAGAAGCGACTGCACTTCATTAGGGATATTTTTTTTAAATACTACCAACAAAGTAGTGTGAAAATTACTTAGAGTTGCATTAATGGTTCTTGGCCAAGCTAAAAAAGAAATCTTGCAAGACAGGGACTGCTTGTATTTACTACACATGTTCCTCCTGCAACATGCTTGGCAAGGTCTTTAAACAGATTGGCCTCAAATTCTTCTTACTCCTCGCTTCCCTTGAATTCTTTTCAGTCAAGACACAAAATCACTTATGAATAGGATTATCTGCTGGCCAGAAAAATAAAAGCTCTATGATCAGCTCTGGCAGTTTATGAATATGCCTGATATAGTTGTTGCTAAAAAAAAACCATAGAGAGACTGGTTGGCAACTGCTACTAAATATTTAAATCTGTCAGTTTACAGTTTTAGTTTAATAGATACTTCAGAAATTAAGTATTTTCTATCAAATGGTAAATATGGCCAGAGAAATGGACAAAAAGTTTAATGACGGATGCACTAGACTAGAATCTAAAACACATATGTCCTGGTATTGTGAAGTTCACATCTATAATCTAATCCACATTTGGAAGTAATTTCAAAATTCTTTGTTCTTGAATTCAGTTTACTCTGTAAGAGATTACTTTACAATGTATGATGAAATTTATTTAATAAAAAGATTGAATAATGTTTGTACATGTGCATAGATATAAGTTCTTTGAAGGCCTAGCCATTGATTTTGTACATCTCTGTATTTTAAAATTGTTGTTGGTGGTGTTTTTTAAAATACTTAGAACTAATGAAGATTAATTGCAGATAGATATTTTTATGCATAGATTGAATGTATGGTTTGTGCTGGCTACTTTAAACATCATTTATATGGTAAAGTATGATCAGGTGCTACCAGTTTTTGCCAACTGTATAAATAGAAATAAATTGCCATACCATCTCAAAGATACATTGTTTTATTGCCACTTTAAAATTTTAGTCAGTATCTACTCAAACAACATATTTTAAGAACAATTAACAGTTTGTTCAAGAACATTATGAAACTGAGAATTGCTAAGGAATTAGGTATTACAAACTTCATTTTCTTCCCAGAAAATGTATCTTTCCATTACTTGCGTTTCAAAATTTCTAAACATTTTTACAAATAATATCTTTTTTTAAAGTATATGATACTTGGAAAAATTCTATTTATGATTTCACAGGTTGCTTTGTGTCAAAAGAGCCATATGAAATATTTTAATTCAGCTTTAATTCTTTTTCTCTTAATAGCATAAAATGTCTGCAAAAGACTGTAAAGGATTCTTACCATATTATCTGCAAGTCATGTGCCTGCGAACTAGAGCTGTGTGCTAAGTGTGGAAAGAGGGAAGACATTGTGATTCCGTAAGATTTCCTGTAACTCCATAAAATTATTTAACAATTATATTATGATACCTAATAATTCTGCCTGTCCTATGAGGTCATTAAGAGATGGCCTGCTTAAGATCTTGTCACCAGAAGCAGGGATATTGGGTTAGAGAAGCCAGGACATTTCATCCGTGGGGCCTGACAGCAAGTCATCATGCAAGGTCCTCACTTAATGACTCATGATTCTCACTTAACTATGGAAACAGGGACTGCTGGGATTACTGTTGCTAAGCAATCTGATCACATGACATCACCACATCACTTAGTAATGGAAATTTACAGTTAAGCAAGGACTTTCTGTACTGTGTTATGTGCTGCCAGAGTCATTTGATCTGGGTTTCATACCTTTTTTGTTCAAGCTGAGGAGAGAAACCTCTTGTAAACGGTGTGTACTCCTACGCATGGGTCTTTCTCTTCTGCTTGGAGTGGAAGTAGAGGCCAGTGCAAATGCAGTGAAAGTTGAGTGTATGATGTCGTTTTGGTTTGAAGTTTGTAATCTATGATTTTGGTAAAATACATTTTATACATGCATTCTGTACATACATACCTATATTAAAAAATATGTGGACCAGTCTTGCATCTGAACACATGATTACAGCTGAAAACATGATGGCTTTACAGTATAAACAAGATGGCAAAATATTGTTTGGATGTTACTGTTTTAAGCAAATATAATAATCAATGGCTGTATGTGGACATACGGTAGTAGGCTTAACATAGAATGCCCTGAGACTTTTACTTCCAGTTTGTGATGTTCAGCATATATGATCTAGCTATGAATATAAAAAGATTCCATAAAACTCAAAGCTAAGAATGGTAGTTGATACCAAAGAAGGCAGAATTAATATTCAAAAGAATTCTAAGAGGCTAGGATATTGTACTGAAATTAATAAAAAGAGAGGTATGTAAATTAAAATTTTGTGTTCAGGTTAGGAAAAAAATAGACATAAGTATCAGATTAGGAGATCTTACTTGAGAATAGTATGGTAGAAAAGGAACAGGGTATCTTAATCGACCATAAACACATTGTGAAACAACAGCTACTAAAAGAAGAAAATTAAAGGAAGTTTGATGGGTTACCAAAAGTAACAATTCCATTCCAATCAACATTAGTTCAAATGTGGAATACCCTATCCAGCTCTAGATGACTTAATTTAAGAATAAGTTTAATGAACTGGACTGTGTGTTCAAGAGAAGAGCAAATCGAAAAGTCAGTACCTGAGTACAAAGAGGGGTTTTTTTTATCCCCCAGGCCTGTGACATTTTTCATTTCATGGGGTTCCTTGTCCAGATCTGTTGTAGCTCCCCTTCAGTGTCTCTGTAATTCTTCAAATCATTCGCATTTCTAGTTTGAGATAAATATTGTTAAGTATTGTTTCTGTAAACTGTTAAATAATCAGCAATTTATCATTTAGAAGTTTAAACATTTAAAATAGTATTTAATAATTATATTTTCTCTCCTTTGGTGAGATATACACATATTCACAAAAATATATGGTGTATTTCTACCAATAGCTGACAGCTAAAATTATGGACGGTTTTGCAATGTGGAACACTAAAGAGTTTTAGATTTTGGCAGTGTCATTATAGAAGCAGATCGTATCTCTTGTGTCACTGGTGAAGTGCTGCCTTGTACATGAACACTCTAGGTAGAAAAATGTTATGCTTGTACTGGCATGTCTCCTTAGCCAACCTGAGACATTACTTTGCTCTGTCTGCCCCACCAAGCTCCAGGTTACAGTCTGTCCATTCTTACATTAGATTTGTGCCACGTGGGGGAATACATAAAAGTTCCTTTTCCTTTCCTACCAGTAATAAAGTCTGACAAATATTATTGTCTTTCTTTTTTCATAGAATTCAAACAAATCTGCAGCCTACTGAGCAAAGGCCTTCCCAAAACCATGAAAGACAGAATAATAGAAAAGATGTATTTGAGAAAGATGATGAAGCAAATTTAAGTGGCTTGGAAGATGAAGATCTGGATTTACTCACATAGCACATTAAAAACTTAAACTGAAAACTACACGGATCTAAATGATTTCGTCAAAACAAAGCTTTTGGGCATCATTTCATTTCTTCCTAAATGATTTGGTGGACATTTTTGCTGTGTGTGGAGTTCATGGCATCTGGAAACAGTTTTCACAAATCTTATGATTCCATTTTCTTCAAGAACTAAATTTGCTTAAAAGTTCTGTTGTTAGGATAACTTTTTTATTTAATAAGTTAAAAAGCAACAGGTATGGTATCCTATATCTGACTTTAAAGTATTCATTGTTCCTCATTCTTTTCCTGACTCCTGTGCTTTCTTTCACTTACCTTATTCCTTTTGTTTATAAGGCAAGTAACTCTCCACTTCATTTTTTTTTCTTCAACAATTGTTGTTTCATCTTTTACCTTTATTTCCGCATGTATAGTACTTCCTCTGCCAAATTATTGTCTTTAAAGAGGTAACAGCATCACAAAATCACTAACGATTTGGGCCAGAGCCCATCATATTAGAGGGAAAGCAGAGCTGGTACATCTCCTTGGCTAAGGGAAAAAGGGCTTCACCATCTTCAGTGGCCACTCATGCTGTTGTTTCTCCTCTTGTTATAAGAAATCATAATCGAACATTGGAGGAGCTTGAGCTGCTGCTTCTTTTTTTGCTGCTTTTATTTTTGCCTCTTCTGCCATTAAATTGTTTCTCCCTCAATCTTACTTTAACACCACGGAGAGTGTAAAGTAAGCATTGTGAGAGCATTTTGTAACACACACACACACACACACACACAAACTAAAATGCATAATAAAACACATAATAAGCAGAGGCCAGTAAGATCCATTCTGTGAATCCTATACCCAGAACATGAAAGAATCTAGCCCTTTTACTGAAAAACCTTTGCACGGTGCCTAAGTACCAGGAGCCCTGGTGGTGCAGTGGTTAGAATGCAGTACCATAGGCAAACTCTGCCTACAGCCTGGATTTCAATCCTGATGGGAATCAAGCTTAACTCAGCCTTTCATCCTTTTAGCCTTCCAGGTAGATAAAATGACATGGATGGTTGGGGACAATATGCTGATATTGTAAACCGCCCAGAGTGTGTTGTAAAGTTCTATGGGGCAGTATATAAGTCTTACATGATAATTGCTTTGGCTAAGATATAGTGGCCATACTGGTAAAGATAAAAAAAACATCAAGACAAGTAACAGATCTTTTCTAAATTGTAATTACTTTCATTTGGGAAATGAATTGTCAGATAGGAAAAGGAAACCAGTTGCTTTACAAGAAATATGTTTTGTATCATTCCTATCCTTGCTTTGGAGAAAATTAAAGAAATTATAGTATTATAAGAGCAGTTTGGATTGTATTTGTTGTGCTAAGTTTAAAAATAGTGATGTTACCTGCTTAACATGTAAATATAATATGTATGATGAGAGTTTTGTGTCTTGGTTGCCCATCACCACAGCAGACACCTGGAAGCTTATATTTTGATATTGCTTATTTATGTATTTGTTCTAGTTTAATAAATGAACATGGCCTTATTGATGATCAGGGTGATTTCCTGAAGCAAAACATTATTATAGGTACGCAATAATTGCTGCCAATCTCCACTCTGAAAACCTAATTTGACAAAAGTAGGAAATGAATTTTATGCTGGGATATCATACATTTATATGTTAGTACCAAGATAGGGGGAAAGGCATGATAGTAGTCTTCCCACGAAGAGATTCAGCCATAGGGAAGAGGGTGCATATTTATTTTTTACAATATTCAAGGTTAAGACAAGAAATAATGGATGAAAACTTTATAGAGGATGATCCAAATCTGAACTACGGAGAGATTTTCTAACAGTGAATTATCTAAGATTGAAAGAGCCTACACCCTTGTGGAAGTCCCATCACGGGGGGTTTTCAAGAAAAGATTGGGCAGTCATCGTCCAGGATGGTATTTGGATTTCAGCAATCCAAATGTAGAGGATTGGACTAGACCACCTCCAAAGTACCTTCCAGGTCTAGGATTATTTTGTGATCGCTGTTTTTCAGTTGGAGAGTCACTTGGTTGAGGGGTGGCTATAGAAAAAAAAAGAAAGAAATTGAATAAATAAAAATTAATAAATTCTACAAATGTCTGAAGGAACATTTTCTTCCCCTGAGAGTTGTGGGGAAAAAGAAGAATTGACAAATGATCACCTTTTTCCATGAGAGCAACACCCTCCTCTTCATGGAATGGGTCAACATTTGACTCATGCATTTTTATTTCTATTAGATTGTCTCCTTCCAAAGTGAGAAAGAGTGAACATTTCTTAAGTTTTAAAAAAATTATCTTAAGTCCTAATTAGTAAGGCATCATTCCTTATGCAGAGCTGTTCAATAGGGTTATCCATATATCAGAAACTTTTTAAAATTATTGGGACTTCATGAATGAAAAAGGTGAGGGCATGTTAACGAATAGACAACAGTTGCTGTATTCATGTAGGAGCTAAAGTCTTTTTTCTTGCCGAGTCATTCTGAGACATTTACAACCGTACTATTAAAAATGCAGCAACAAAATCAATTGCATTTTACTGCTGTACTATGTCTATTAAGTATTTATATTCCACTCTTGAAATAATTTCCAGTGTAGCTTGGAATTCTTAAAAAAAATACAACCATAAAGCAGCAGCATCCAGCTGCTTCTATACTCCATAGCCAGCACTACAGAGCCAAAGGGATCGATTTTGGTAGTGATTGGATATAACTTGGAACCGGAAGCTAGGCAGATGGAAGTTGTGCCATAATCTCAAATGTCCTTGAATGATTGGAACTGGAGTCACACCAGTAATTGAGGGAGGTTGTCCTGTGGCTGAAAGATCTTTCCCCTTTGCAATTCTTGTTCTCCCAGACAAAGGAGATCAGGGGAATTTATGTCTGTAGGAGGCAACTTGCTATCACATTTAATGCGCTTGCTATAGCCTCATGAAGTAATAGGAAATCAGCATACCAAGAGACATATGGACACATTCCAACACATCATAGTTGAAGCTTTTGCTGGATATAAGGAGGAACAGAAGAAAAACCAGGGAGGAAATATTGGCTATCAGTCTTGGGGATAGAAGGAACAAGGGATCCATATCAAGTGGTGCGAGCACTCAAGGGGCACTTTTCCTACAGCCTTTTGTCTTGCAAAGTTCTCAAGGCTTCCTGAAGATCTATTAGATATGAATGCAGTGGTGATTATTTGAAGGAACATAAGTCCCTGTGTTTCTCATTCTTACACCAGTATTTTAGAGGCATAGCACTTTAGTATCTATGCAGATACACGTTTAGTGTTTTGCTTTCCATGCTGCCCACCCCAGTTATCTCTCTGCTTCCTAGGAGACTTTCAAATAGAAACCTTACTGAAGGGACAGATTATATCTGGCTTTTAGCTTCTTATCCCTGCCTTTACAGATAAGTAGCAACACCACTTGATTTGTACCTGGAAATGAGCCAAGGATCAGAAATAACTCACAAACATTGGTTATCTCTTGCTGGGTTTTTTGCAGGGTTATAACAAGATCTTTGAGGGTTTTGCTAAGATCTGGCTTGCTGGTGGGTAGTAGGTATTGCTTGCTTTTGTGATGATTGAATGCCACTCAGAGTCTGCAAGATAAAGCAGCATAGAAATATTAGTAATAGGAAAATACAAAATAATACCAAGTTTTGTTTCTTAATAGTGTTTAATTTGATCATGGCTATATTATAACTTGTAACTTGAATGTTTGAACTATGTTGTTGCAGTCTTATGTACCTCATTAGCTTAACAGGGGAGTAAGCTCTTGGGATTTTTGTGATATTGTTACATCTGACACTCCAGGATAAGCTACTTAATATATATATAGATTTGAATCTCCAGAGGCAAAATTAGATTTTAACCATCTTTACCATAAGGAGAACAAACCTAACCTACACTAGTCAGAAATATGGATCTCTTATCAACAGAGCCTTTGTCTTTCCTGGATTCACTAAGGTTTGGCTGATTAAACTGCCTAGCTCCTTACTAATGGCAGGCATGAGTAAAGCATTTCCAGTGCTCCAGTTCTTTTTTATGTAAGAAAAAATAGAACTGGATGTTATCATGGGAATGAGATAAATGCTATGAAACTAACAGATGCAGACATTCCTTCCCTAAAAAGAAAATGAGCTGTGAAATCAACAATCCTTGGAGCATTACAAAGTGCTCTCAGTTGGAGCCTGCCAGCCTACCCAGGATATAATTTAGCGGCTGGTACCAGATGCCACCAGGAGAATCACTCCTCTTCTCGTGGTTTAGGATATCTATTACACTGACTGAGGCATTTTCTGGGCCAAATCTTGGCCTGAAGTCTGATTCTTTTTCTGGATCATTTTCAGTCAGCTTTCAGAAGTGGCAAGACTCAAACAGCACCCACCTACTCCAGCATTATAACTAAAAAGCAGTGTTAATGACAATAGTTTCAGTCTTAAAGGTCTAAGGAGAATTTTGCACCAGCCTCTTACAAAGCCCCATTTGAGATCCATGAAATTACAATATTTGTTAATTCCAATGTTCAACTAGGCAAAAATTCCAGCGTCACAGCTAAAAATATTGAGTCACAGCTAAAAATATTTCACTATGCAAAGCAATGTTGAACAAGAGTAATAGTATTTCAATCAAGTTGAAATACTTTTTTCAGAATTATTTTTTTAAATAAGACAATGCTAGTAGTTTATTGTTTGGAAATCTGGCTAAATAAGAATGGGACATTGGAAAAATGCCCTTAAAAGAAAAGGTTAACTATTTTTTTCCCTTGGGCCCCTTTAGACATTGAAAACAAGGGAGGAAACTTATCTCTTCACCATCTTTATGTCAGGTATTAACAGAGGACAAGCACATCTAACTAGAAATGTTAACAAGAAGTTGAGAAACTAAAGTTTTTACTGTTCTGTGCAGTGATGTTTACTCTAGAGGCTCAAATACATTTGACAAACTTCCTCCTAGCAAGCAGTCATACTGCTGGGAAAAATGGCTAAAGACATGGTCAAATACACTAAAGGTGAAAGGAAATCCTGACAAGGTCAGAAAAATATGTCACAGAGCAAGCAATCTCTGAGAAATAAAGGGCAGCTTTTGCTACAATATGAGTGACTAAACTTAATAGTTCAGATGGCAAAGCAGAGCAAGCAGATGGCACACCAAGCAGGACAAAACAGGAATTGGGAGGGGAGGAATAATGATTTTTCTTCTTCCTGCAGTGTGACATTTTTGTTATCCCTTACCTATGTCCGGCACAAACTTTCCATTAAAAGTTGTTTCTTGTTTCTACCATTGTTGACTGGGGAAGCCTCACATGACATACAGCATAAGGCCAGTTCACAATGTTCAAGCAGCCTTTTTTACAGACATTAAGAGGGAAATGCAGAAATTGTTCAGCTCATTCCAACTGCATCATCACAAACCTATTTTTATGTTTACAATGATACGGTTAACCTTCCTTCAAACAGCTAGTCCTTGCTTGCCAATCACAATTGGGACTGCCAACTTTGTCATTAAGCAAGAAAAACATTTGACCATCCCAGACTTACAACATTTCTGCCTCTGTCGTTAAGTGAATCACTTTAGTTGTTAAGCAAAACATCACATGACTACAACTTGCAACTTTATTGCCAATTTCTCCATTGACTGTTTGTCAGAAGCTGGTTGTGGAGTGCCCGAATGGTGATCACATGACTATGGGATGCAGTAATGATTGTAAATATCCATCAGTTGCGAAGTGCCTGAATGTTGATCATGTAACTACAGAAACCCTGCAGTGGTTGTAAATGGGAGAATTGGTTGCAAAGCTATTCCTTTTTTCAACTGTTGTAACTTTGGTCATTAAACATAGCAGACAGTAAGTGAGGATTATCTATAATCATGTACAGAGATGGAGACCATGTTCTGGCTGTTTGCAGAGGTTGCTCATCCTTAACTGAATGGTTTCCAGCTCTTCCAGTTTCATAAAAATGTTCTGTGATCCATTTAAGCAACAAATGGTTAGACAACTCAACATAGAAACAACTGAACATGACCACTTTTTTATATTGATCTTAGGGAACCTAACCTCATATTCCACATCTCCAATGGGAAAGCCAATCACAATATGTGGAACATAATTATTTCATAAACAATGAGATGCAACCCCCCCCCCTCTCTCTCTCTCTCTCTCTCTCTCTCTCTCTCTCTCTCTC